TCATCATAATCAGCATCCGCCTCATCCTCATGATCCTCATCCTCCTCCTCCTCCTCGTCATCCGCCACCTCCTCCTCCTCCTTCTCCTCCTCACTCTCCTCCTCCGCCTCCTCCTCGTCAGCATCACCACCACCAACACCATCATCATCATCATCATCATCATTATCAGCATCATCATCATCATCAGCAGCATCATCATCAGCATCATCATCATCGTCATCGTCCTCATACTCGTCCTCGTCCTCGTCCTCATCAGCATCACCAGCATCATCATCGTCTTCAGAGGCAGCATCATCATCATCATCATCATCATCATCATCAGCAGCAGCAGCAGCAGCAGCATCATAATCATCATCAGCACAATCAGCATCGTCGTCATCATCATCAGCATCATCGTCATCATCAGCATCGTCGTCGTCATCAGTATCAGCATCGTCGTCGTCGTCATCATCAGCATCAGCAGCAGCGGCAGCAGCAGCATCATCATCATCAGCAGCATCAACAATATCCTCATCATCAGTTTCATCCATCTGCATCATCAGCATCATCATCGTCGTCAACATCGTCATCGTCATCGTCAGCATCAGCAGCATCATCATCATCAGCAGCAGCATCATCAGCAGCAACAGCAGCACCATCATCAGCATCGAGATCATCATCAGCATCAACATCCGCATCCTCATCAGCACCACCAACATCATCATCATCATCAGCAGCGTCAGCATCATCAGCAGCAGCATCAGCAGCATCATCATCATCAGCATCCTCATTATCATTATCATCAGCATCAGCATCATCCTCACCATCATCATCATCATCATCAGCAGCAGCATCACCATCGTCAGCATCATCATCTGCATCATCATCAGCTGCAGCATCATCACCACCACCAGCATCATCAGCAGCAGCATTACCATCCTCCTCCTCCTCTTTTTCCTCCTTCTCATCCTCCTCCCTCCTCCTCCTCCTCCTCCTCCTCCTCCTCCTCCTCCTCCTCCTCCTCCGCCTCCTCCTCCTCCTCCTCCTCCTCCTCCGACCTGCTCCTCCGCCTCCTCTTCCTCCTCCTGCCTCCTCCTCGTCCTCCTCCTCCTCCCTCTCCCCTCCGCAGCCTCCTCCTCCTCCTCCTCCTCCGCCTCCTCCTCCTCCTCCTCCTCCGCCACTTCCTCCTAGTCCTTTCTCCTCCTCATCCTCCTCTCCTCATCATCATCAGATTCACTCCTCCTCATCCTCCTCCTCCTCCGCCTCATCATCATCATCATCATCATCATCATCATCATCATCATCATCATCATCATCATCTCATCATCGTCCAGCATCAGCATCATCATCATCATCATCATCATCATCTCATCATCAGCCATCAATCATCATCATCATCATCATCCAGCATCATCATCGTCATCATCGTCCATCGTCATCATCATCACATCACACTCTAGCATCATCATCTCATCATCCATCATCATCATCATCATCATCATCAGCATCAGCATCAGCATCATCATCATCATCATCATCATCATCATCAGCATCAGCATCAGCATCAGCATCAGCATCACCATCATCATCATCATCATCATCAGCATCAGCATCATCATCATCGTCATCATCATCAGCGGCAGCAGCAGATGCAGCAGCACCATCATCATCATCATCATCATCATCATCATCATCATCGTCATCATCGTCATCATCATCATCAGCATCATCATCATCATCACCATCATCATCATCATCGTCATCATCGTCATCATCATCATCAGCCGCATCATTATCATCAGCAGCATCATCATCATCAGCAGCAGCATCATAAGCAGCATCATCATCAGCAGCCGCATCATCGTCATCAGAAGCAGCATCATCAGCATCATCATCAGCAACATCAGCAGCATCATCATCAGCATCCTCAGCATCATCATCATCATCATCATCAGCAGCAGCATCATCATCATCATCATCATCATCATGAGCAGCAGCATCAGCGGCATCATCATCATCAGCATCAGCATCACCATCATCATCATCATCATCATCATCATCATCATCAGCATCATCATCATCAGCATCATCATCATCCTCGTCCTCCACAGCATCATCATCATCATCATCAGCAACAGCAGCATCATCATCATCAGCATCATCAGCATCATCAGCATCATCATCAGCAACATCAGCAGCATCATCATCAGCAACAGCATCAGCATCAGCATCCATCAGCATCATCAGCATCATCAGCAGCATCATCAGCATCATCATCATCATCATCATCATCAGCATCGGCAGCATCATCATCATCAGCATCATCATCGTCATCGTCATCATCATCAGCATCAATATCATCAGAAGCATCAGCCTCATCATCACCATCATCATCGTCATCATCATCATCATCAACAGCATCATCATCAGCACCAACCTCATCATCGTTATCATCAGCATCAGCATCAGTATCGTCATCATCATCATCATCGTCATCATCATCATCATCATCATCAGCATCATCATCGTCAGCATCCTCATCATCATCAGCAGCATCAGCATCATCATCAGCAGCAGCATCAGCATCAGCATCATAACCGTCAACATCAGCAGCAGCATCAGCATCATCATCAGCAGCAGCATCATCATCAGCCTCATCATCAGCATCCTCAGCACCATCATCATCATCAGCGGCAGCATCATTGTCGTCGTCATCATCATCATTAGCATCATCATCATCATCATCATCATCAGCATCACCATCATCATCATCAGCATCATCATCAGCATCATCATCATCATCATCATCATCATCATCATCATCATCATCATCATCATCATCATCATCATCATCATCCCCCACCTCCTCATCCTCCTCCTCCTCCTCCGCCTCATCCTGCTCCTCCTCCTCCTTCTCCTCCTCCTCCGCCTCCGCCTCCGCCTCCGCCTCCTCCTCCTACTCCTCCTCCCTCCTCCTCCTCCTCCTCCTCCGCCGCCTCCTCCTCCTCTTCCTCCTCCTCCTCCTCCTCCTCCTCGTTCTTCTCCTCCTCCCTCTTCTCCTCCGCCTCCTCCTCCTCCTCCTCCTCCTCCTCCTCATCCACATCGCCTCCGCCTCCTCCTCCTCCTCCTCCTCCTCCTCCTCCTCCTCCTCCTCCTCCTCCTCCTCCTCCTCCTCCTCCTCCTCCTCCTCCTCCTCCTCCCGCCCCCTCCCCTCCCCTCCTCCTCCTCCTGCTCCTCCTCCTCCTCCTCCTTCTCCTCCTCCTCCTCCTTCCCTCCTCTCCCTCATCTTCTCCTCCTCCTCCTCCCCCTCCTACCCACTCCTCCTCCTCCTCCTCTTCCTCCTCATTCTCCTCCTCCTCCTCCCCCTCCTCCTCCTGCTCCTCCTCCTCCTCGGACCTGGACGAGCGCGCGTCACGACTCGCAAATCGACGGCGAGCGAGCGGCGGCGAGCGAGGGCCCTATCAGGAGGCGGCGGGACTTCTGGGAAGCCCTCGGAGGCCCCCTGAGAAGTCTTCTGTTTGTGTTCGCAGAAGGCTCAGGAAACTTCTCAAAAGGCCAGGGGACTTCCGAACTTTCTGGGAAGGCCTTCTCCTTCTCACTTCCCCCCCCCCGCTCGCCGCCGAGCAGAAGAACTATTCGCAAATGGCCTGGATCCGCCGCGGGAAATGTACGGTCTATGGCATACAAGAAGACGTAGTTCATTTGGAAGTTTGCGAGTAGGCACTTTGCGAGCAGTGGACCGCGCTCGGTGAGCAGAGCGGGTCAGCCCTCGAGTCTGAGCGTCTCCCCCCCCGCAAAAAAAAATCTTGCCGGAGGACCCAACCATATGAGCGACGATCAAAAACGGATCGCATGGGAGATGGCATAGCGACCTTACGCGGCGGCTCACGCGGGCCGCCAGCGCGGCGTGCCACACTGGAGACGAGGCGCTGACGCGCGACCTCACGCGGGGAGCTTACGCGCCAATGCCGACGCAGACGACCCCGTCTTCTTGCAGCGCTCATATGGAGTTGCGAGTACCGTAGTTGTGAGCATCATCTTCAGTGGAGTCATCAATGTGGCCACGAAGCTTGTGAATGGTGTGCGGAAGCGATGAGGAGAAGGCGTGCGGGCCCTGGCACTGGTGCCTGAGGTCGAGCTCCCTATGAGGCCACGAGACGCGTGAGGCGTGCGCCGAACTGGTGAGAAGAAGGCATGCGGGACTCCCTATACGGCCGTTTCTGCCCAGACTTGAAAAATCGCACACCAATCGATTGTCCTCAGAACGTGTACTAGCGCCAACGTGTGCTTCTCAGGCTGCGTGACACCAGCGGAGCTGAACCAGGTGGACACACAGACAGTGGACCAGTTAGCACGCCTCCTGCGGACCATCGAATCGGAGTGGGGTCGGGAGCGCTGGTCGTTACATTTTTTCACGGCCTTATAATTTTCAAGGCGTCGAATCTCGAGGGGGGGGACCCAATTGGGGGTCACGAGACAGCCCGGTGGCACAACGTGCAATGACCTCGGAGTCCCCGGAGACCACACCGCACGGTCCGTCACCGCACGGTCACCGCACACCCCAGTCCCCCGAGCCGCCCTCGGAACACGATCTGAATCCCAAAACCGTGCCGTGACTCCAACTCCCCACTGACTCACCACACGGTGGTCGGCCGCGAGCGAGGGGGGGAAGTGAGAAGGGGCAGGCCTTCTCAGAAGGCTCGGAAGTCCCCTGGCCTCCTGAGAAGTCTTCTCGGCCGTCCCCGAAAATACTGAAAAAACCCTCAGAAGGCCTCCTCGCCTTCTGAGAAGGCCCGCTGCCTTCTGAGAGGGCCTTCTCCTTTCGGGGAGACGTAAGACTCGGGTACGGGGGACTCGGATTGGCCTGACGGGGCCATCTTAAAAAATGGCGAGATCCAATCTGAAATTTTACGCGAGCTCCCGCTGCAGACGTCCCACGAAAACTGGACCGTCAAAATCCATGACGCGCTCGTCAAGAAACGTCGGCTAACCCGAGTTCCGGCATTCTCGAGTCTTGCGTTTCACCGATCCTTCTCTTTTTCCTCCCTCGCTCGCCGCCGAGGTGTGGTCACCGCACCGGTCGGCGACCCCTGCCCTGCAGCTAGTGTCCGAGGGCCTTCCCGAGCAGGCGGGCAGGGACTGTGGCCCTGGAGGTCGCGGCCGCCGCCGAGGAGGGCCCCCATCGGAGCGGCCGGGCGCGGCCTGACGACACGGCCGTGGATGGCACAGGAGACGCAGTACAGCATCTTCATGTAGAGCTTCGGGAGCATGAAGGTCTGGTACCTGGGCTCGCCTCCTCCTCCTCCTCCTCCTCCTCCTCCTCCTCCTCCTCCTCCTCCTCCTCCTCCTCCTCCTCCTCCTCCTCCTCCCTCCCCCCCCTCCCTCCCTCCCTCCCTCCCTCCCTCCCTCCCTCCCTCCCTCCCTCCCTCCCTTGCTCCCTCTCTCCTCCCTCCCTCCATCCCTCCTCTCCTCCTCCTCCCTCCTCCCTCCTCCCTCCTCCTCCCTCCTCCCTCCTCCCTCCTCCTCCTCCTCCTCCTCCCTCCTCCCTCCTCCTCCCTCCTCCTCCTCCTCCTCCTCCTCCTCCTCCTCCTCCTCCTTCCTCCTCCCTCCTCTCCTCCTCCTCCTCCTCCTCCTGCTCCTGCCTCCTCCTCTCCTCCTCCTCCTCCTCCTCCTCCTCCTCCTCCTCCTCCTCCTCCTCCTCTCCTCCTCCTTCCTCCTCCTCCTCCTCCTCCTCCTCCCTCCTCCTCCTCCTGCCTCCTCCTCCTCCTCCTCCTCCTCCTCCTCCTCTCCTCCTCCTCCCCTCCTCCTCCTCCTCCTCCTCCTCCTCCTCCTCCTCCTCCTCCTATTTTTCGTCCCCTCCTTCCCCCCCGCACCGGACGCCTTCCGAAATCTAATCTACGGGCCTTTCCATCTGCCATCGAGTCGAGTGCGTATTCCCGCAGGCTGCCCGCGCGAACTGAATGCGCTCGTTCACTGCTGTCTCCAATACTGATTGCTTGACTCAGGGCACACGCTGGCATCGCGGATGTCACGCTGGGAGGACGCGTCGACCATGTTGCGGACCTGGAAGCGCTTGATGGCCTTGTCCTGGGCGCCAAGGAAAGCCCTGGCACGGGGACGCCCTCAGGCAGAGCCCGCGCTGCCCGCCGAAGAGCACGGCTGACGCGACGCGCTGCCATCGCACCCGTGTTCGATCCGTGGGCTGAGTGGGAACGTTAAGGGGGTACCGGCTCAGGGGCATCGACCTGGAATCGACGACACGTCGCCGATAGGTCGGCGATAGGCCCCCGATGGGGAAACCGCCCAGTCATGGGCAGGTTGGCCCGTCGGGCCCTCATCGGCGATCAATGGGCGATTGGGGGTCGATGCGTCCCCACCTGAGCATACCCCCCCTTAAAGTTGCCCCGATTGACCTCGACTTTCGGGTCCTAACTCGGCTCTCTGGCGGCCGCTCGGGACGAAACGGGCACCCCGGACGCCCCTCGACGAGGCGCAGCCGCTGGAGAGCATCCCGATGCTCGAAAAAATGCGGAGAGACTACGAGAAAAAATGCGAAACTCCTCCTCCTGTTTCCTCCTGCTCCTCCTTCCTCCTCCGCCTCCTCCTGTTCTGCTCCTCCTCCTCCTCCTCCTCCTCCTCCTCCTCCTCCTCCTCCTCCTCCTCCTCCTCCTCATCCTCATCCTCCTGTCCTGCTTCTCCTCCTCCTCCTCCTCCTCCTCCTCCTCCTCCTCCTCATCCTCCTCCTCATCCTCATCCTCCTCCTCCTGTCCTGCTCCTCCTCCTCCTCCCCTCCTCCTCCTCCTCCTCCTCCTCCTCCTCCTCCTCCTCCTCCTCCTCCTCCCCCTCCTCCTCCTCCTCCTCCTCCTCTCCTCCTCCTCCTCCTCCTCCTCCTCCTCCTCCTCCTCCTCCCCCTCCTCCTCCCCTTCCTCCTCCTCCTCCCACTTCCTCCTCCTCCTCCTCCTCCTCCTCCTCCTCCTCCTCCTCCTCCTCCCTCCTCCTCCTCCTCCTCCTCCTCCTCCTCCTCCTCCCCTCCTCCTCCTCCTCCTCCTCCTCCTTCCTCCTCCTCCTCCTCTCCTCCTCCTCCTCCTCCTCCTCCTCCTCCTCCTCCTCCTCCTCCTCCTCCTCCTCCTCCTCCTCCTCCTCCTCCTCCTCCTCCTCCTCCCTCCTCCTCCTCCTCCTCCTCCTCCTCCTCCTCCTCCTCCTCCTCCTCCTCCTCCTCATCCTCCTCCTCTCCTCCTCCTCCTCCTCCTCCTCCTCCTCCTCCTCCTTGTCACGAGTATGGCTGTCACGGAATCTGCGCTGATATGGCCTCCCGCAGCAGCGCCTGGTCTTGACGCTGGGACCGCTGGTGCTCTGCCGGGCGCGGCGGCGCACGGTCCCCCCGCGGCGCCTCGTGCCCAACCGGCTGAGGCCCCTGAAGCGGCGATGGTCGAACCAGCACGTCTCTTCCAGGAGGAGGTCGTCGAGGCGCCCGTGGAGCTCAAGTTGGATCTGCTTCTACCGGTGCCGCTGCGCCGTGGCACGGCCCCCCTCCACATCGCCACCATCAACGGGGACACGTGGCAAGGGGCTCGCACGGTGCTGGAGTGGAACTCTGCAGCCGGCAGGCGCTTTGACGTGGCCTTCGTTCAGGAGACGAGGTTCTCCGACTCCGAGGCGGCTGGGGGCGCTCGCCAGTGGTGCTTGGGCCAGGGCTGTCATCTTGCCCTGGGCCCTCCTCGTCGGACTGGCGCTGAGCGTCTGGCTGTCAGTGGCGGCGTGGGCCTCTGCATCGGCACGCACATTGGGGTCTTCAGTGGCATTGCTGTCCCTGATGAGTGGAGCCATCGCATTGTGGCCAGGAAGATCCACCTCGGCGAGGGCTCGGTCCTCTTGGTGATCTCTCTCTACATGATCACCTCCATCGGCCTCACTGGTGATAACCTGGCGCTCCTTGCGGAGGTGGCGTCTATTGTTGGGCAGTTCCCTGTGCCCTTCATCATCGGCGCCGACTGGAACGTTGACGCCCACGACCTTGTGGCCAGCGACTGGTGCCAGGAGGTGGACGGGATCATCGTCAACCCTGGTGTCCCGACATGCGGGGACAACGAGTACGACTACTTCGTCATGTCCCGCTCGCTGGCCCACCACACCTCCCACCCTCAGGCGTTTGCTGGCACACCTGCCGGCACTCATGTTCAGGTGTGTTGCACCCTGGGGGATATTTGGGAGCATCCGACGGCTTGGCTGGAGGATCCTCGGCGGCCCTTCTCAGTAGCCAGGAAGGCTGTCGGATCTGAGGAGTCGGTCAAGCCCAGGGAGCAGCCCACCTCCGAGTCGCAGCGGGAGGCTGCGGAGTTGCTCGAGCCCTTGGAGTGTTTGCAGACAGCCAGTGCGAGGTGGTTCGACCTAGCCGAGGCCTCTCTCATCCGCTCCCAGCAGATTGACTTATCGGTTGCTCATCACCACCGTGGGCGAGGTCGAGGCATTCGTCTGGTGGAGCGGCCTTTGCTTGAAGTCCATGAGCGGCGGCAGCGCCGTCACGACTCGTCCGACACCGAGGCTTGGTGGAGCTTTCTTCGCATTTGGAGAGCAATGCTTCGGTGGGGGCAGGCCAGCCGTGGTTCTCGCGGCAAGCGACAGGTGGTGCGTGCCCGCCTTCATCTTCAGGCTCAGGCCCTGACATTACCTCCAGCTGTGGCTGGTGCCGAGGCCCTTCGTACGGTGGCCGTCGACAAGTGGCTTGGGCTTGCTGAGCGGGACAGCCCTCTTTCTGCTTGGTTTGAGGATCTTCTCGAGGAGGAGGTGGCCGTGCGCAGGCGAGCTGACGCGGCTGCCAAGGCCAAGCTATGGCGAGATTTTTGCAAGTCGGCCCTCGACGGCCCCGGGAGGATTGCGCACAAGCTTATTAAGCCGAAGATTGTCGAGCCTCTCCCTGTATCCCTGCCTGGCGACGTTGATTCCCTGCCGCAGGTGGGCTCGCTGGCGGTTGAGGGTGTTTTGCAGGAGTGGCTTCCGCTTTGGATCAAGGACTCGAGGAATGATGAGCAGCACGCATCCGAGTGGAATGTGGCGACAACCCTTGAGCCCATCAGTGTCTCGCAGGTGCGCTCGGCCATCCTCTTCTTCGGTAGGAGGAAAGGCCTGGGCTGGGACTCCTTTCATCCGCGGCTGCTTGGGGAGCTCTCGGACGCCTTGGTTGCTCGATTTGCGGCCATCTTAAACCGGTTTGAGCTCACTGCCGAAGTCCCCGAGCTTTGGACGACGATGTTCGTTTTCATTCCCAAGCCTCCTCCTGACGTCGGCCGTCGGCCGATAGGGCTCCTGGGCCTATGGCCCCGCGTATGGTCCAGGGTACGACAGCAACGAGTTCGCGCTTGGGAACACAGTGTGGATGCCAGCTTCTTTTGGGGCAAGTCCGGCGATACGGCGGCCGACAGAGCTGCTTACATCCACAACCTGCTGGTGGTGCATGCTAAGCGCCACGGCTTCGTCAGCGGCACTCTGTACTACGACGTGCGGAAGTTTTACGAGAACATCTCCCACGGCGCCATGCGCGAGGCTGGCAGGCACTACGGCTTTGACGAGCAGCTGCTGCGATGCCTGTGCGCGGTCTACCGTGGGCCCAGGCGGGCCCGCTGGCTTGGCGCGACCTCGCGCCTGGTTGTCCCCAACGGCACGGTGATCGCGGGTTGCAGCTGCGCGACTGGCACCGTGAAGCTCATGACCCTGTGCGTTTTACGGACTATTGCCATTGAGACGCCTGTTTGCCGGCCGCTGAACTTGGTGGACGACTTGAAGGTGCATGCTGTGGGTTCTCTCCGCATTGTGGCTCGGCAATTGGTCAAAGCAGCCACGATTGTAGCCACTCAGATGAATGAGCTCGACCTCCCGCTCAACTTGGACAAGACCTGCTTCCTGTGTTCGAGCCCTGAGTTGCTCGAGGCTCTGCTGGACGACCCCGACTGGCCGTTCGACGAGTCCTTCCTGGCCACCACCCACCGTGACCTGGGTGGTGACGCTTCAGACGGCAAGGCTCGCCGCGTGTCTGTGCAAAACAAACGCCTCCTCGAATCGTCGGCCGCTGCGACTCGGCTCTCGAAGATTGGGCGGGGGAGGGAGGCTTCTCGGGTGCACAGAGCGGGCCCAGTCGCTAAGGCCACGTGGGGGGCGCACATTAATGGTCTTGGGAATTCGGCTTTGAGGACTCTGAGGGTGGCCTCTGCCAGGTCTTTTGGCCCCCTCCAGCCTGGATCCTCCCTCGGCCTCACCTTCCTTCTTTGCGGGGCCCCCCAGCGGGATCCTTTTGTTTCGACGACGGTGGACGCCGTCAAGTCATTTGTTTCTGTCTGGTGGCACCGCAGTGTCACGAAGCAGGTCCTCCTCTCTGCGTTTGACGATGCACTCGTGTCTGCGAGGAAACCTAAACCCTGGGGCTCCGCCAAGCAACCTCTTGCCGCTCTTGTGTTAACGCTTGCTCGGATTGGTTGGAGGTTGGATGTCCCAAACGAGGTCCTGATTGACCAGGCGGGTCGCTCCTGGAGTTTGTCTGTGTTTTCCCCGGCCTTCTTCGCCCTTCGCGTGCGCGAGGCGTGTGAGGAAGCGATTGTAATGGAAGAGCAGGCTAGGCAGAGTGATTTTGGAGCCGAATGGCGCGGCCCCATCTGTCTCAAGCCGGCTCTGGATCTGATCTCGAAGCAAGGCTCAGCTTGGTCTGATCATTGTCGTCACTGCTTGCGCAGCCTTGTTACCAACAGGTATTGGTGCCAGCAGCGGTTTCATGACGCCTGTCAGGACATACCCCCTGCCTGCCTGGCCTGCCAGGCCCCATCAGGTACCATGTTTCATCGTCGATTTGATTGCCCCGCCCACGATGCGTGGCGACGGGATGTTTTGAGCCCCGACCTGCGCCGGGCAGCGGGTAGAGTGCGCCTTCTTTCGTCTAGGGCCCAGGAGTTGTTCGCCAGGTGTGTGCTCCCAGACCCCACTTGCTGGTTCTCGCGCCCCTCCGAACCCCCTGAGGCCACGGTCTATAGGCACAATTGGCCTGCCGACGGGCTGGTGCTCGGGGAAGGGGCCCATGTGTTCTTGGACGGCTCGTGTTTCGAGCCTGCCCTCCCTAGGATTCGATCGGCGGGATGGGCGGTGATCGTTACGGACGGGTGGGGGAAAATTGCTCGTGCGATTTGGGGGCGCGTGCCCGTGTGTGAAGCTCCAGCCCAGGTCGCCCGTGACGGTGAGGACTATGCAGTGGTCTCTCTCGTTCGCCATGCTACTGTGTTCCCTGGGGCCAACTTGTATGGGGACTGTGCCGGAACTCTCGGGTATGTTTCGGACCCCGCGGGAGCTGTTTGTCCCGATAATGTTCGGGCGCATATGTGGCAGCATGTGTTTGATAAGCTCGACGGAGTGCGGTGGCGTAAAGTTCCTGCCCATTGCACCCTTCGTGATGTCGAGAACGGTAAGCTCAGCCGTCTCGAGTATCTCGGCAATAAGGCTGCCGATGAATATGCCAAGCGAGGCGCCTCATTGGGTCGAATCTCTGCCGCTGATCGTGCCGTCGTCGATGGTTGCTTTGAGTTGTCCCGGCTGTTGTGCAAGTTCTCAGCTGAGCAAGAAGCTCGGATCGGGGACAGTGGGCAGTTCGACCATGTCGGCATCGATTGGCTGAGGCACATCACCCTTGAGGTCCCTCCTCTCCCTGATGATCCTCCTCCTCCTTCCGTGCCTTCTCCTCCTGGCCGTTTTGATTGTGGCTCCGTACGGCGGCCTCCTATTGGGAGTGGCGGGACGGGTCGGGAGTCGGGAGGGGTGGGCGACGACGGTGAGGAGGGCAGGGCCGAGTGGCCCGACCTCCATGTCTGGCCGGCCCGCGCCCACGACATCATAGAGTGTGGGGTCACTGACCCCGCTGGGGCGGCCGCTGGCTCCCTGGCCTTCTGCACCCGGTGCGGTTCAGTCTGCACCGTCGGAGGGCACGGTGGCAAGACTGCTCTCGCGTCGGATTGTCTGGGCCATCGTTCCCAGGGTCGTGAGAGGCAGTTGGCTTGGATTTTGCAGGGCCGCCATCCTTCGAAGAAAGATTTTCGGGTCTCGCGAGCGACCGTGTTATCGGACCCAGCTCGAGACTACCTCGCCGCCAAGATGGGTCTGGACGACCTCCCGTTGCTCGCGCCACCTCGGTCCAGAGGCTCTCTGGCTTCTTCGTCGGGCGGGATTGGGAGGGTTTGGGCTGGGACTGGGGTCGACCTTCAGCGAGGCCTTTCACTTTACGGGTTCAGCTCTCGGGAAGAGGCTGAATCGCTCGGCGCTCGAGCGCAAGAGCGCCGACGGCAGGTTGTGCCGCCCGAGGAGGACTTGGACCCTCCCTAACTCGTTTGGAGTTTGTTTGATGCATGTTTAATGTGGTGGCACCTTTCTAGCCGTTGCCGGGCTCCTCCTCCTCCTCCTCCTCCTCCTCCTCCTCCTCCTCCTCCTCCTCCTCCTCCTCCTCCTCTGCCTCCTCCTCCTCCTCCTCCTCCTCCTCCTCCTCCTCCCTCCTCCTCCTCCTCCTCCTCCTCCTCCTCCTCCTCCTCCTCCTCCTCCTCCTCCTCCTCATCATCACGCATCACCATCATCATCATCATCATCATCATCAGCATCATCATCATCATCATCATCTCCTCATCATCATCATCATCATCATCACAATCATCATCATCAGCAGCAGCAGCATCATCATCCTCATCATCAGCATCATCATCATCATCATCATCATCATCATCATCATCATCATCGTCATCATCATCATCATCATCATCATCATCATCATCATCATCATCATCATCATCATCATCAGCAGCAGCATCATCATCATCATCAGCAGCAGCAGCAGCATCAGCATCAGCATCAGCATCAGCATCAGCATCATCACCATCAGCAGCAGCAGCAGTATCATCGTCATCAGCAGCATCAACATCATC